GAGAGCATTCATAAAAAATTATTGTGAGCATTGGTTTCTATCTTTGTATGAATACTCCTCATTTTAATGATTTTTTTAAAAAAATAAATGCATATTTTTTATTTCATTAACTAAAGATAAATTTTGTGATAAATAATGCATCACACAACAAACTCATAATTATAATAGTCTTATGTGACAAACCTTTACATTTTTAATAATATAGTTCATAAATTTCTATGTTCATCCAAAGAGTAAAGTGGTCAATTTTATATAAATTAAACGGTCAACTGACGGGAGGGATATGGAAGAGATCAAAATCAAATTTTAGGGGTAGGAAATAAGCAAAATTCAGGAGCATAGAAGGGATTAGCTAAAATTTCAGAGGTATACAGGAGATTTTCTCTTGGCGGAACGTACATAGTTATCATTTTGAGAGAAATTTAATTAGTTTGATATACTCCCTTTATCTCAAAATTATATCCCATACTAGATTAATTTATTTTAGGAGTATATAATGGTAAAATGGGTGAAAGTGTATTAAATATTTTCACTCTGTATTTTTATTTATCTTTAAATATTTTCATATGCAAATATATGTGCATTTATGGTAGGCATACATTTATGATAAGTATGATATACGTGGTATATTGATATGTCTGGTTAAAGCCATTCCCAACCCAAGACACTAGACATAGTTTCCATAAGCTCCACATCATCAAGTAATTAGTACTAGACACTACTCTTTCAATGCAAACACCACTATTCTATATTTAAATTTAATGCTACTTATCTTACATGATGTCTTGGATGTTGTGTAGAAACCATGTCTCATGCAAGACATGGTTTCCTTCTCTTTCCTCATTTATTCACTTGCCACATCATTTTTTATCATATGTGACAGCTTATTTAATACTATAGACACCATTCGAGTCATTGGGTTGGGAATGGTCTAAATGTCTTCTATTACATCGGAAAAGAAAGAATACAAAGTTAAGAATAAGATGGTCAGCGGAAAAACAAGAAAAAAAACTACACAAGAAACTCGTAAAAAAAAGAGAGAGGTGTAAAAGCATGATGGGCCACAAATAGCACTATGGACTAAGGCCCATATGTTTGCAACATGCATTCCGGTTATTTTCCTGGGCCAATCTACACATTAGTGAAATGTCTCTTTTTTGCCACATAGCTAAAAATACGGTACAAACACATATGCTCATAATTACACGGCAAAAATGTATACATGGGATACATGAATATACCAGTGATAATAAATTAAACAATGTCACGCCAGAAATCCTATGGGCAACGTGCAAATAACAGAATTCAAGTGCATAATATAAACCGGCCCAAAACATGTATGGGAGTTGATCAAAACTCTGCACTTTCAGGCAACCGTTGGCACTTGGCAGCAAAGATCTAACAGAAAGCTAATTATGTATATATATATATATATTTAATCACATGAATGGCATTTTCATATTACCTATTTTCGATTACACGGAAGAAGGTTACACACGCATGCATATGCCTAGTTACTCTCTCCGTCTTAAAAAAAATTCAATTTATGAATAATAAGAGGTTGATTCTTTTTTCTTTTGGATAAAGGTGTTCAATATCTAGTTGTAGTTGCAATATATCCAGGTAAATCATAAATGAAATCCTGATTTAGTTTCCAGATGGACCAAACATTGCATGCATGCAGAGACTAGGGCCAGCTAGCTAGCTTGTCTTAATTTGCTGACTAATAATATTACCGTCAGAGAGTAATCAACTGCAGATCACGAGACCAAGGCACGATTAGTCTCATGTTTAAGACCAACGGGGTAGTAATTAATAATATATTAACCAATTGATTGATTAAGAAGTGATGTAGCAGGATACGGTGATGGACAAATGTGTGGTCAAAGAACAGCGCAACGACGTTGTAGGCACGATGTGCGGGTCAAAACCAAGAATTCGCGTGCAAACGAATTCCCTTGCAAGCCACGCACTCTCCCTGCACACTTGCACCATCACTGTTACTATCACTCAGACACTCACTAGTACTCCATCTTCTACCGAGCTAGCTATAGTGGCTTCACTAATCCATCTATGCTCTTTCATGTTACATCCATTCCAAAATAATTCAACCACTCATACAGAATGCGACACATTCTAATATTACGATACTAAGATGTATCATATCCCGTACGATGTTGGTTTTGTTTGGGACGGAGGGAGTACATATTGTTGTTTAGTGTAAGGGCTAGCTCTGATCCTTTGGAACCCGAGATTTTAAAAACACAGTAACAGGAAAAATGCAGAAATACGGTTCCAAAACATAGGAATACTAGAATTGGTGAATTTACATGGTTCACAGGAAATAAAAACATAGGAATTCTAAGAAAAATTGTTTGTCCTAGAGAGACAAGAGGGAGAAACAAAAAGATAGTGTGTTGGGACTCATGTTTATTTTCCTATGGAATAGGGGCATATGAAGCTAATCCATAAGAATTTTGAGATCTCAATTCCTTTGAAAATCATTCAATTACTATTTCTGAAAACTGTTGATAGCTAGCTAGGCCTCATTTTGAAAGATTCAGTTTAATTTATGGGCATGCATTTAAGTATTTTTATAGAAGAGAAACTGATGAATTGAAATCATGTCCAGTACTCGATCTGTGATTGATCAATTTATAGTATGATTTTCATCCAGTGTGCAACAAATTGAAATCTCTAAGTTATTTGGTGAATCAATGTTGATATACATTTATTTCAAATTCTCGCCACTGAGTGCTCTATACAAAGATCAGTAGTGACATTTGGAGTATGCATGGTCGATGATCAATTGTTTGAATGAGTTGACCCCTTGATCGATTTTTTGAAAGACAATAGTGACATGCATGAAAGGAATCTCTGCAGGTGCAATTAATGACTAATGTGTTTCTTGCATGCTAGCTAGGGTGATGTTAGTAGGTCACACATACATAGATCCACACTATTCTCCTTGTACAAAAATCAAAATATTATCAGTTGCTAGCTCTAGTCCATATTAAAATGCATGACATCATTGTTACAATATAATATTATCAGTTTTTAGGATAATTTAATTAATTGGCTACTAACTTTGATCATAATATGTAAGAAAAACTGAAATATAGCATTTACATATCTATTACAACAACTTGTCAACGACTATAATCATCCATTGGAACTATTTAGACCATGGATGAATTGAATATCATCATGAATTGATCATATGTGCGACACATATTCAGTAATAAAATTACTTCTTTTTTGCTAGCAAGGGACATGCATGTATTTTGTTTAGAAGTTAATACTACACCAATTAATTATTATTTTGAATAATTATTCATCCTAGAGATTTCCTTGGGATGCCCCATCACTTGCACATAATTTTGCCTAATTAAAACCCTTGATTTCCTTGAGATTATCTGTAAGCAGACAACCTTTCCAGTAGTGGTTTAATTATAACTGATATATATACAGTTATAATAGAATACTTTTTATTTCTCACAAATACTCAGCAAATTAAATTTTGTTGCGAGGAGTTGAGGAGATAACTCTATATATATCATCTCTTGTAAACAATATGATCGTGCACCGCGCCTGCCCTAGCTTGTTAAATTTATTCTGATGGAAGACATTGGAAATGCCGGTGTCAAGTTCATACTTTAATTTAGTCCCAACGTACTAGACGAGTACATACGTTGTTATTGTTGTATTTGAAAACTCGATTATATTTATTCTTAGTTCAGGGGGACAGGATAAACTATTTTCTTCTAGATTGGATCTTAGATGTACACAGGTAAGCCATGCATTATGCCATCTACAGCTAATGCCAAGAAAAAAATATAATAAAAGGGGCCAAAAACACAAGGCACACATGTGTAGACCTAGTTAGAAAAGAGCAAGACTCAATTAAGTGATCCTCTCTGGACCAGCTTCAACCCTAGAAATGTGCCTAATGTTGGGCAGAGTATTTAGGGCCTTGTTCCTTGGAAAATCATTAACAATTTCTAGGTTAACATATAGTATATATATATATATATGTGTGTGTGTGTGTGTGTAACAATTATTTAATGGGCATCCCCATTTTCAACTATATATGAAATTAATAATCGACAATGATCAAGCAAATAATTCTACAGATCTCTTTTCAAATCCTAATTTAAAATTATATAAAGCTCATACATATGTGAGGTGCCATTAAGGAATTTCAGTACCAGATTACCAAAATAATTTGTATATGTATATAGTCTGTCACTTAATTTGTGCATATACATTCATGGATGAAATGAAAGAAAGTTTAGACCATATTATATTACATTAAAATATAAAAAGAATTAATACTGGTGGTGCATAAGTAGTGCATGTTCTTAACTATAGGCAATTCAAGTTTATTATCGAGAAGATAATGTAGTATGCAGCCATTTTGTCCCCCATGTGAACATTTTTATTAGGCTTTTTATTTAGACAATGGAGTGGTATATATAATTCCTGTCTGCACCGACTAGTGATAGATTTACACTATCGAAGTCGGCAAAAGAAGAAAGGAAAAAAAATAAATCAAGATTTATTACAGCCACTTTTGCAAATCATTGTACATGTAAATACATGACAAGCAATTGACCAACATCAAGCTCGCATGTCATGTGATTACTGACCTCTTCCAAGACAGACAATTCTAATCTGAACGGGAACAGTAAGGGTGTTAATTTACATTAATTCAGAAGATTCCATCATTCCATATGCATACTCCTACAGCTCAGCCTATGTTAATCTATTGCTAACAAGTCAACATAGCTTCAGGGCACCTAGCTTCCAAATGGTGCAAGATGAACACAAACATGTATCTCTCTCTTGCATATACAATATAATCTCTCTGCACAATTAATTATATATATCTCTTTTAATTTAAACACCTCTCTGTCTCTGTCTCTGTCTCTGTCTCTCTCTCTCTCTCTCTCTCTCTCTCCCTCTCTCTCTCTCTCTCTCTCTCTCTCTCCACAAAGAGACACAAACCTAGAAGCCACCATTTTCCAAAGCACCAGACTTCCATCTCTGTCCCCCTTTCCTTTTTCTTTCTCTCTCCAAAGTCTCCATCTTGCCTTCATGTCCACTGCAAGGTATGATGAATTCATGCTTATAGTTTTGAGCAAAACTAGCTAGTACTCAAAGGAATCACCAATTAGCTAGCTAGCCAATGATCCAATCACATTTCCCATGATCATCAATCCATGCATCCCATAGTATACTAGAGCAGGAATTAATCAGCAAAAACCACTATCACTGGCAGCTAGCTAGCCTCATCAGTGTAATTAATCCTCTACTCATGAGCTGAAAATTAATTGTTTGTTCATGCATATGCAGTGTCAAGATCAATGTAGAGAGTCCTAACCCTAACACAGTGATCTCATGCTACATCTCTTTCTTATCTTGTTCGTCATCAGTGATTGGCAAGACCACCAGGATCAGGTAGGGAGGAAGATAAAGAGGGAGTCGTCGGCGGCGGATGCGGCGGACGGGAGAACAACAATGATGGCGAGGAGGAGCTGCAGCATGCCGGCGGCGGGCGCCGGGCCGGGGTCGGCGGCGGCGGCGGTGAACACGATAACGCCGTGCGCGGCGTGCAAGCTGCTCCGGCGGCGGTGCGCGCAGGAGTGCCCCTTCTCGCCGTACTTCTCGCCGCTGGAGCCGCACAAGTTCGCCTCCGTGCACAAGGTCTTCGGCGCCAGCAACGTCTCCAAGATGCTCCTGGTGAGTAGTGATCGAGCTGGGTTAAGCTTAATTAAGCATATGCATCCATCCATGGTGACCTAGCTAGCAAGAGGCTTATATTAATTAATTGGTTGAACTCAACTTAACTACTAATGATAAGTGATGTTATTACTAATTTGCAGCTCATCTAGCTTATGAAATGATTTGGTGCCTTCATTAATTGATGAGATTGAATGTGTCTCGGTTAATTTCTCAGGGAATTTTATACACTGAAACAAGAATTTATATAGTAGTGAGTCAGCTAAATTATTTGTTGAGGATTGCAGTTTTAATTTCAACTCTTTGAATCCAAAACCACGAACTAGAACTTTTCACATTTTATACCTAATTCCACGGAATGGATTCTAATCCAGAGATGTCCCCTCTGTACATCTTTCTTTTAGATTTAATTTTGCGGGGATCTTTCTTTAGATTTAATGTAAATGGTTGTGAAAAAAAATCTGCTTTTCTACAATGTAGAGTATATTAATATGAAATATCTATCACCCCAACAAAAATCAAATTGAAACTCGATCTATACTTTGAGAAATAAAAAATGATAAATTTGGGTATGTTGGATTTGTCTTTTTTTATTTCGAAAATGTGTGAGTTGAATTAAGCCTTAGGATTTTATGAAGTGGTATATGTATGTTGTATGAATATTGTAAAAAAAATTGAGACTTTTTTCATAACTGTTTGGATGTTTGGATGGTGTCTGAGGAAAGGAGGGATATTTCTTGAGAGTTTAAAGGTGTTTCCCCTAATTTGTGCTCGATATATATATCTCTTTTGAGCACCATTACTAGGAAGATCATATATTCTTGGTTATACACATTTTGCATGTTTATGCTCAAGACAACAGTTAATGTTCAAAAGTGCATTTTTTTTAAAAAAAAACGAAATTGAGAAGTACTCCCACAATCCTAGTACATCTCTTATGAAATCTATAATGTGATGGTGAAACACATTAATTAACTAGTTGGCCCTCCTCTTGCATATGATTCAATATATATCCTCTTTAATTAGCCGCATATATTCATGCATCGATCTGATGGCTAGCCATCGTCGTCGTCGTCGTTGCAGGAGGTGCACGAGAGCCAGCGCGGCGACGCGGCGAACAGCCTGGTGTACGAGGCCAACCTGCGGCTGCGCGACCCGGTGTACGGCTGCATGGGCGCCATCCTCACCTTGCAGCAGCAGGTCCAGGCCCTCGAGGCCGAGCTCGCCGCCGTCCGCGCCGACATCGTCAGGCACAAGTACCGCCTCCCCTCCGCCGCCGCCGTGCTCCCTTCCTCCCACGCCTCGCACCTCCTCGCCGCCGCCGCCGCCGCACGCCAGCTGCCCGTTGCTGGCACCATGGGGGTAGTGACGACGGCGACGCTGCCGGCATCGGCGTCGTCGTCGTCGACGACGGCGGTGTACGCCGCCGCGTCGAGCTCCACGGACTATAGCTCCATCACCAACGAGAATGTCCCCTATTTTAGCTGAGCTTTCTGCTAGTATTAATTGAGGTTTTTTTTTTCTTCAGTGTATTTTTGTCTTTTGCTTTTATATATGTAGACTGTGTGAAAATATCTCAGAATAAAAGGGTTCTTTTTTCTCTGGGAGAGTAAATATAGTGTCCAGCTTTTGTGTTCCAAGTCCCTGTTTGAGTTCACCAAATTGCAACGTTTCAGAATTCAAAATTTTCAAAGACAAAAAGAGAAAAATCCATACCAAGTAAATTTCAGTACTAGATGTTCTTTTGTACAAAACCGAGCGCTGCAAATTAAAACCCATCTGCTAGACTAATTTCAACCAAAAGAGTTCAGATTTTGAAATTCAAGCCAAGCTTTCTAATTAACAGGCAATATGAAATAAGAAATCATTGACAAGGTTGGGGAAATGGAGTGTGCACGTGCACACGATGCTCTGGTGTGTTTGTTTGACTGCATTTGGATCTCTGCATGGGACTGCTCACATGATTGTCTGTGCACATCTCACTTCATAGGAGTACTCTTTAAGTATTCTCATTTATGTACCATTGCAGACAAAACTAACATTGTTTAACCAAACTTTGCATCTTCCAGTAGATGCTTGTGAGAACAAAACCAACAGAAATCATGAATGGTAATAGCAGAACAATGTTACTCTTTATCATCGTATAATGAAATGATCAAATGAGATCATAATTTACATCATGAATAGGGTAAACTATTGATTGGTTACACTGTTAAGTGAAGTGAAGTGCATCAGCTTGAAAATTTCTCCACGTATTTCCTTCCAATAAGATGTGCCACTTGCATTAGCGTGTCCTACAACCCCCACCAGATAGTTCCAAATAAAATGCACCTAGCTATTCCTATCTGAATTGTAGCTGGTTTTCTCAATATTGCAATCAAACTATATTGAGCACAAAATTGGTCATGTTTCCGAACGGTTCGGTTCAGAAACTGCAGAACTGGTTTGGCATCCAGAGTTTAGGAATTTGCAGAGAGCCTTCCAGACAGGAACCAACATTTTGACAGGAGGGTGGGATTTCTGCAAGTTAAGCTCTATTGGTGACTGAATTTTTCTTTGATCCCGTAGTAATAAATTAGAACAGATGAACTTTACCTGGAAAACTAGCCTGAGTTCCTCTTCATCACGCAGAAGCAATGCCAAGCTCCAGTAACAGGTCACCGGCGTCACACACTCATTCAGCAATGGCTTCAGAATCTTGCCAATTGGCACAAAACGACGATGAACTCTTCCACTAAGAATCAGAACTTGCAAATTTTAATTCTACAAACCAACATCTGTTACCAAAGGTTAAGTAGTCCACCATTTTCTAAGCAAAGAAAGTAATGTCTCCCAGAAAACCTCAGAGCAAATGATGAATAAGATGTGAACAAACATGGTAAATATACTTGATAACTTCATATTGATATAATGGTAATATAAATCCATTTCTCGTATGATTCTCCAAAAGATAACTGTTTAACCCGGAACATATTGTAGATGCATATATCAATCATTACTCTAATCGAGAGTAGCCACTAGCCAGTGAATCATAGAGAACAGATTGTTGTCCTATTTCTTGTCAAAATCAACCTTCATAACCTAACAACTGTTTCCTCAGGAGGGGGTTACTATACAACAACTATTCTACTTGCTAGAATTCCAGGTAAGCAGGCGGACATTGCATCCAAGCAGTTTCATTCGTGTCAGTTGACACTAGAATAATTGGTGATGAGTGATGAATATTGAACAGCTAAAGTGATCATTCTATTTCAGGTAGCATATGAAAAGTGGGAAATCACAGAAAACCAAGCAATAAGATTAGCCTACTAGTGTCGATCAATTATGCAAGTGTAGGTATATATGATGCAAGAGACTATATCAAGCATGATTGATAATTTCAGGTAAGGTTGTAAAGGATGTTGTTATATACCTCCAAAAATGTATTTCTAGCTGAACCCCAAAAGTTGGCATTATCACCACTGACTCTGCACACGTTCATTTTCATCCATAAATACATAACATTCTAATATGGATGTCAGGGTGAAATCCTATTCTGGTAATCTTAAGGTTCATACGGTAGTACTATAATATGAGAAGGCCACATAAGGACATATTTGAGGAAAAATTCACCTTTCTTCACAGGTTTGTATTGCAAACATTTGGCAACAAGGATTCCAAAGGCAATACTCCACACTGAACCAGTGGATAGGCCTTCCTTCAATATTGAAGCAAGTCAATACCAACATAAACATCAGTTATGATAAGTATAAACAGAAAGGTAATGCGTTTCAGAACATTACAACTAAGATTCTAGGGTACTAAGAACCTCGTCACAAGGATGGTCAACAAAGCCACAAAAACAGTATGAGTGTGCAAATATGAATCTGTTCTGAATAAGGGAAACATGTGAAAAAAAAAAGGCTCTACAAAAATAGTAAACATTTTGCAGCTTTATCTACAATATGATGAACCATGGAACCTAACCATTAGATAAGGAACCGGGTAATTTTCACTAGGACACTCTTGAAATATCAGATAAAAATCTCGCTGACAAACCCTCCTACCAACATGTGGGAACTGATTTATGTGAGAAGTGTACCTTTGACAGATACAGTTGGCAGACACTTGCGAGAAGGAAAACCATGCCAATGTATGACAACAGAACCCAGAATCTGCTCCTCTTAACATAGATTTCATGGACATCAAACCCACTGTCAGAATTATGATTGTAAGTATACATGCCAATGGAAACTTCTCCTTTCCGTTCTTGTTCCATGGTCTCACTGGATAAAACAATAGCAACTGAATTAGGCAGTTAGGCACATCTGAAAGGTAACTAAAACAGAACCAGCAATCAGCACTAAACCAGGGGAGAAATATGGATAAAAAATCAACCATATGAACAATTTTAGCATACAGATAGACATAGCAGTAGCAGATATCTGATCCATCACGAAGCATGAGAGATGAGGCAAACCTTGCTGCCTGCTGCCTGCCTGGCATGCGGTGCCGCCAGTCGTTGCCCCCAGCGCCCGCCCTTGACGCAGCCTACGCTGAGCAGCGCCCGCACCACGACACGCGCCCAGGGATGGGCCCAGGATTTTTAACTTGTGTATTCAAAATTAGAAGAGATAAAAAAAAAACAACCCAAAATCTAATAGCTGTATAATATATAATGGTATAAGTATGATTTCGTAAAGTTATATATTCATATAATTGACCATAAATTGATTTTGTCAAACATATTAGAGTACAGTACTAAACTATTAATTGACAAAACATATTAAATTTATAGAGAATAGAAAATGGCAAAACGGTTAGAAATCTTACAATTTAGAGGAACTTTTCGTTTCTTGATATTTTGAAAATGAGTGATGATGTTTTGCAAGAAGAAATCCCTTTCAATGAATGTACAAGACATCCCAAGGACATTCAACAAATATGCAAGTTGCCCAAAAAGCCATGCACAATCAGTATTCTCCTTAGCAACAGCTACAAAACAATATTATGGTCTTCTAGTTTAAGTGCTAACCAATAACCATGCTAACTCTGCTAAATATGTGCACTGATAAGTACTAACTCTGCTACAAGCCTACAAAGCTTCACAAATCCTAAATCCTAAATCAACTATGAATTAAATCCTAATTTCCTAATTCATTCCTGAATCCTAAACATAAACCATCTACGGGCAGGGCAGGGAATGAGGGGAAGAGTTACCTTCGTCCGTCGGGCTTCGTCTGGAGCTCCGGACGGCGCCGCTGGCGCATGGACTGGAGGGCTACTCGGCTGGAGGCGCCGAGACACCTTAGAGCGGGCCGCCGGCGCCGCGCGTGGAGGGGCCGAAGCAGCGAGGCGGCGCGCCGGCGTGGACGCGGCACGACCCGGCGACCGCGCGACCGGGAGAGGGGTTGGTTGGCCTGGTGGATGCGGCAGGTACGAACAAGCCCAAGGTTGGCCTCCTACTACTTGTGCTGGGGCGGCCTCTCCTGGCACAGCCCTCGCGCCGCGCCGCGCCGGACAGGGGAAGGGCGGCCGGCGCCGGCGACGGGCGACGGCGAGGGGCGGCGCGAGCGGTGCGAGGTGCGAGGCGAGATGCCCGAGTTGGGATCTGATCTCACCTTGTAGGCTTTTCGCTCGGCTGCTTTGTGGGCCAAATTACTTTTGGGCCGAAGGTTATGGGCTACGTTGGGCTTTTTTATTTATTACTAGAAAAAGTCCACTTCGACTCCCTTATTGTTCACCGAATCTAATTCGTGACCCTTAACTAGAAAACCGGGTAAGACGACTCCCCGAATTAGTGAAACCATTGCAATTTGACTCCTCCGACGGTATCGGAGGGTGGTTTTGCTAACGTGGCGCTGATGTGGCGGTGCTAACCCGGTTTTCATGCCACGTGGCACTTACGTGGCATTAGAGTTAAAAAAAATATCTATGGGACCCATCTGTCATTCAACACAAAATTATTGTGGGACCCACTGGCCCACATGTCATCATTTCTCCATCCTTTCTTCCTCCTCCCTCTCTCTCCCTTCTCTTTTTTCTCTCCTCGTTCTCTCTCCCCCTTCCAGATCGGCAGCGGCCGGGGGCCATGGCAGCGGCGAGGTTAGGGTCATCGACGGGGAGAGGCGATGGTGTGGCGAGGACGCAGTTGAGCATGAGCCCAGCGCCCTCGATGAGGGCGAGGAGCATCCCGCCCATGAGCGCGGAGCGGCCGGCGGTGTCGAGGCCCTGGCGCATGGAGAGGAAGCCGCTAGTGGTGGCGCCGGCGATGATGGAGTTCCACAAATCCTCCTTCTGGTGCATGAAGACCATGGTGCAGTCGAAGGCGGAGAAGAGGTCACCCCACACCGCGAAGCTGCCGCCCACCCGCGGCGCGTTCATCCGCACCGCCTGCGCGCTGCCAACGAGGCACTCGCCGTTGAGGGAGTTGTAGGTGCCCTTGAGGAAGTGGAAGAGGGAGCCCCTAACTGCGCCCATCCCGAACGCCCCGCCCACGTTGTTGGCTGCATGGGTCGGATCGGGCGCCGCATTGGAGGGGGCGGAGTGGGAGCGGCGGCGGGCCGGCTTGGAGATGGGGCAGGCGGTGGCGCGGCCGTCGCCTGCACGCCGCCGTCACCGCTCTAGCCCTCGCCCGCGTGCCGCCGTCGCCACTCTGGCCCCCGGCCGCCTCCGCCGCCGATCTGGAAGGGAAAGAGAAAAAATGGGGAGAGAAAAGAGAGAAGGGAGAGAGTGGGCGGAGGAAGAAAGGATGGAGAAAGGATGACACGTGGGAGTGGGTCCCACAATAATTTTGTGTTGAATGACATATGGGTCCCATAGATATTTTTTTTAACTCTAATGCCACGTAAGCGCCACGTGGCATGAAAACCGGGTTAGCACCGCCACATCAGCGCCACGTCAGCAAAACCACCCTCCAATATCGCCGGAGGAGTCAAATTGCACTGGTTTCACTAATTCGGGGAGTCGTCTTACCCGGTTTTCTGGTTAAGGGTCACGAATTAGATTTGGTGAACAGTAAGGGAGTCTAAGTGGACTTTTTCCTTATTACTAATAATTGGAATAAGTTCATTTGAGGTCCCTTAATTTGTCAACGAATCTGATTTTCATCCTTCAACCAGAAAACCAGATACAACAGGTCCCTCAATTATCAAAACCGGTGCAAAATAAGTCCCGAGGCGGTTTGGATGGTGGTTTTGGCTGACGTGGCGCCTATGTAGCTAATTTGACTCGGTCTTCGTCTCACGTGGCATTGACGTGGCGCTTACGTGGCAATTTAGTTTAGAAAATAATAAAAACCGTTAGGCCCACATGTAAGTTACAAAAAAAACAATTAAAAAAGGTGGGACCCACGTGGGCCCCACCTGTCAATCTCACTCCCTTCTTCCTCCTCACTCCCAATCTCCCCTCTGTTCGTCTCTCTCCCCTCTCCTCTCTCTTCTCTCTCGGGCGCGACGGCCGACGGGCGGCGGAGCAGCGCGGACCGCGGGAGGCGGCCGGAGAACCCCGCGGCCGGGAGCGCGACCACATCGACGCACGATACCCCGGGCCAGGCGCAGGCGCGGTCGGCGTCCTCCGACCACGGCGCCAGTAGGCCCCCCGGGTCGGACACCCCGACTTGAAGACCACCAGCGCGAGTACGTCGTCGTTCACGACGTCCGCCGCGGCGAGGATGGCGACGGCTCGACGACATCCGCTCGGCACGAGACCGGCGTCGGCTTCAGCCTGCATCACCTCGAGCAGCTTCGGTAAATGCTCTATGAGTAGAAGTAGCATTTAGCATCACTACATCACTATTAGATATGCTTGCTGCCTTTTCATGTACTTGACCTTTGAGGTTTGAGCCACACGAACATGTTATATTCGATCCAGCCAACATCCAGTCGATCCCACTGGAGCGGAGACAGACAACGGCCTTGACCCGGCGAAGCTGCTCGAGGTGATGCAGGCCGACGCGGACGCCGGTCTCGTGCCCACCTACGTCTGCGCCATGGTGGACTCCTCCACCTCCCGCTGCGACGCGGCCGACGGGTCGGGCTCCCGGCGGAAGGGGTCGGCCTCGAGGGAGAACGCGAGGCAGTCGGCGCGGATGGGCGAACTCCGGCTGCGTTGGCGGGAGCAGCAACGACGTCGGCGGCGGCAGCGAGCGCTCAGAAGCCATGGGGGATGGGAGAGGGGAGAGAGAGTTGAGGCGAGGGAGATGGCCGATGGGGAGAGAAGAGGAAGAAAGAGGGGCTGAGAATGACTGGTGGGGCCCCACCATTTTTTATAAACTTATTTGTGAAACTGACATGTGGGTCCCATGAAGTTTATTATTTTTTTGAGTCGAATTGCCATATAAGCGCCACGTCAATGTCATATCAGATGAAGACCAAGTCAAATTAGCCACGTAGGCGCCACGTCAGCCAAAACCGCCGTCAAAACCGCTGAGGGACCTCATCTATACTGGTTTTGACAGTTGAGGGACTCGTTGTATCTGGTTTTTTGGTTGAGGGATGAAAATCGGATTCGTTGATGAGTTAAGGGACCTCAAATGAACTTAAACTCATGGGCTTGTATTAAGGGCCCGGCCTCCATCTTGCATCCCCACAAAAAGGTAAGATGACAAACTTATTCATTTTTTTTTCATTTTCACCCTTTTTGTTCCCGGCATGAAATGAAGGACTTTTCTTTACTCTCCGCTCCATAATAAAGACGTTTTGGGTTTATCCTAAATCATCTTTTTGCCTAACTTGGATCAACTTTGAAAAAACATATGTAACAACATTTATAGCATGAAAAATATATACTATAAAAGAAATATTCAATGCTGGATTTAAGAAAGTTAATTTAATGTTGTAGAGGTTACCACGTTTCTATAACGTTGGTCACATTGAAGAAATTCGACTTAGGACAACTCCAAGACATCTTATACTCCCTCTGTTCCAAATTAAAGGGCGCCCTCTTTTTAGGGGAAATCAAACTCAGTAATTTTTTACTAATAATCATACTAACAGTATATGTTAAGTATTGTGCATGTTATATCACTAGATTCATATGTTAAAATACTTTCACGTGATACTAATTTCATTTTTGTTGGTAACATAACATGAAATAAATTAATGGTTAAAATATGTTATTAAAGACCATGAAAAAAATATAGGTCTTATAATTTGGAACGAATGTAGTAATATGATATGGAGGTGAAAATTACGTTTCTCCTAAAGCAAGGCAGGATCTCTTGCTGATAAATTAAAAGCAAACGTTTAGGAAATTATGAAGAGTCATTTCGGAGATGGATGAAAACTAAGAAATTGGAGAGAGAGAGAGACAGAGAGCCTGTCCAAAGCTTCTAGCTGATGAAGTTCACCATCAAATATAGTAATTCCTAAATGCATGGTTGTGCCTTTGTGTGAGCTTAGACCTTTGTGTTATCTTAACCAATTATGAATGGGCAACACATATGTGCTCTCAAAACTGAAGCACATGTGAAGTACACTTCAGAACAAAGCAACAATTTCCATATAGTTTTATTTGTCAGAAGAGAAAAAACAGGTACTAACACAAATCGCAAAAAAAAAAAAAAAAAAGAGTACACCAACAACCACCCTAAACTGCAATTATGAGCCATAAATGGACAAAAACATCCTAGTCTGCAAAACACCAATGTTTTAATCCTCAATCCCTTGCAGAGTGCCAATCATTGACTAATACTAAAACCCAAATTATCATTAGCCCCCTTAGCTGTCTTTTGGAAGTAAACAAACACAAACAAATCAAGGCAGTAGTAAGATAAACAAGTTGAAATCTGTGCATGATTTGGTATGCAGCTTAATTCGTGCAGCAGCATGTGTGTGTGAGCACCCTTTTGTTTTCTTTGCTCGATGAGCAGCTTCCTGTGGGTACCTGATCCAAGAGCTCACGCAAATCTATTCCATTCAGATCAGAGTTTGCATGAGCTGTAAGCAAACAAAATATGTGTTATGTTCCATGTACTAGCAATCATGTACTGTCTAATTGTCAGATTCAATTAGATAATTTTTCAGACTTATATGGAACTTTGCAGAATAGTGAAGAAATTATCATGATTATGATATTTGTACTGGAAATTTAACTGTTTCCATGCCTCTAAATTCAGAAACATGTACTTCAGAATTGGAATTAATTTACAGTCTTGCAAACTAATAGGTTCATGCTTTAGCTTATTGCATGCCCTAGCATTTGTCAGTAGATCAGAGCAATTCTGAAGCTTTCATATCTTTCCGACAGATTATTGTAAGTATATTGCATCATTTCATTGCAAGGGAGACTTGTAATTTTCTACTCAAGATTCCAACTACAATAGCAATCAGAGAACCAATTAATTATTGGTGATTGGTATGAGGAGACCACTCTACTGTGACCATTGAACAACTGTGACTGACTGTCTTTTTCTGAAGTGTTCCTGTTGGATTGGCAAAATGTGTGGGTATTACTGTCTCATGGTTTTCTTTGAATAATTCTCAGAATTCATATATTGATATTGTGAAATGAGCACATCACTTCACAATTTCAACGATGCAGAATATATCTTTTTCGCCAATCAAGTGTACGTCAATATTGAGAATATTTGAGTGATATTGACACCCAAAAAAGCAAAATTCTTCAGCAGAGAATAAGCAAAAAATTCCATCTAAAACAGGAAAAAGTGATTTCAGTAATGTAAAGTATAATATTCCTAATGTAAAGTATAATATTCACAAATAGCAGATATTTCTATGCAGGGTATGCATTTGTCATCTTTAGTGCTCAAAATGTACCCTTTTTTGCATAGATAGTTTGCAGTTGCCCTCATTTTTGATTTTTTTTAGGGCATCGATTTGATGCATTAATTTGTTAAAGCTTGCATTGAGTAGTACTAGTACAGAAAGCATTAAGGCAAAGCTTCAAGGAGGAGGGTATCAATTAGTGCAAAGTTATAATAGTTATTAAACTATATGCCCTGGTAGCTGGCTTTACTTAAAAATGTTGCTTGCTAGGGTGTCTTTTTGTCAAGCTCCTTAGGAAATTAAAGAAAGCAACCATTATTCATTCATGGTCTAATGATGTATGTCTCCCACTATTAGTTAGCCGATGATGATGAGAAACTAAGGCATGATGGGAAACTTAATTAATACAAGTTAATTAAGACTTGATCTCCAATCTAAACATCCTAGTAGAGCTTGGTAGTATTTGAGAACAAGCTTGCTTAATTGGAGGGATTAATTGGAGTAAGTAGTAACCACTGAGATTGATGCACCTTGCAAATGGTTTGACCATTAAAGGATGATCAAGTCTAATTAAGATTAGACACCAACAACTTTATATACAAGTTGGCACTATATGATTTTCTTTCTTGTGAAAATAAAATGTTATGTGCATGTCTTCATTTGTTCTCTTTTTCTTCCTCGAGCCAACCAAAGACTTAATTATTTCCTAAAAAAAACAGAGCAAGAACAAGAACAAGAACAAAAATAAGAATTCACAACCCTTCCTCTACATGTTCATCATATATATATACTAGCAAGGGTAAAACATTACATGGATGTACACTTACAAAAAAAATAGAAAAGAAAAACATGGAAATTAACCATGCACTCAAGTGAGAAGATGACACCCATGCAAAACACCATCAACCCCCCTTAATACCACAAACCAAAAGAAACAAAAAAAAAAAAGAAAAGAAAAAAAAGATTAATCATTAATGCACTAGTGCTAAGCTCTCTCCGTCTCTCTCTCTCTCTCTCAAGTGTCCTCTACGATGCACTCGAGGTGTGGCCTCCACGCCGCCGTCCGGCTGCCGGCGCTCATGCGCCGCCGGTGCAACGACGACGACCTCTTCTCCGACGACACGTCGCGCACGTGACGACGGCCATTGCCCCCGTGATCCGACGACGGCGCCGCCTGCTTGCTCTTGCCGTGGCGGCCGCTCGCCGCCGGCGTCGCCGCGGCGGCGCCGCCGCCGCTCTTCTTCTTTTTGTCCGGCACGGAGGAGGCCGGGATGAGGAAGTAGATCTCGCCGCGCTCCAGCTCGGAGTCCGGCGAGACGATGAGGATCGTCCTGCGCACGGCGACGGCGCCGCCCTGGGAGCAGCACGGCTTGCTGAGGACGTGGTTGGGGTTGGCGGCGAGGATCTCGCCGGCGGCGACCGGGCGCCCGTACTCCTCGACGCGGCCGTTGAGGTGGACGATCCTGATCAGGTCGAGGGCGCCGCAGGGGAGGACGCAAGCTAGGCAGCATCTCAGGCTGTTGCCCATTGTAATTAATCTTCTTAATTAACCTCTCTCTCTCTAGCTTAAGTTTGCTAATGACTTTCTCACTCTAATTAGCCTCTTAATCTCATAGTCATAGCTAGCATCGATCCCTCTCTTCTTCAGAATGTTGGGGGGTGACCAATGCTTATATAGTGGCCTAGCTGCCAAGATGGTGTCCAGAGATGCAACATGTTCAAGGGAGCCATGGGTCTTGGTTAATTAATTCATTAATTTTGTTTTGTCATGGTCTTTGCATTGCTTGAAGGGCAAAAGAGGCCAAGGGGAAAAATATAGATATATAATGTGCATAGTTTGGTGGAGAAATATTTTAGGGATAAGGGATATCAAAAGATGGCCTCATGTGTTTGCTAGCCTTATCTTAAGTACTCATCTAAGGACAAGTGTACTGGAGTACAACTACAAACCCCCATGTTCACTAGAATTTATGGAGGCAATTTTCTTTCTCTCTCTCTGTTTTTTTTTTACTGTCTGTCTACCCTTGCCTCAATAATTCCCACAGCACATTTCCATGGTCAAGCTGCCTATCTGTACATTGGTTGTACACAATTAATGGTACATTACATGCATGTGTAGGTAGTAGACCTGTTAGTGTGTGGTTGGATGTTGAATTTCAGGTATGGGTTTTTTACATAATCTATTTGTTGTATATTTATCAGAAAGGTAGTGCCTCAAATTCATAGTCATATTTTCAACTAGTCATCACTGAAGCAATCAAGAAAATATATGCAGTACTAAGAAGTAATCAAATAATTACCATGTGCTTGATACAGTTAATTTCCAATTTTTCTCATGAATATTATTTTCAAAAAGCATTGAAGCACTTACTCAAATATCGACACCTCCTTTGGATAAAAATGAAAATGCAAGGTGCCACAATCTCACAAAAACAATATAGTATATTTTAAAAAATAACAATATCGCACAACGTACACATGATCTATCTTACTATATTAATGTAAAAGGAATGTATGCATAGTAATTTCTTAATAGGAACAAAGGACATGCATCTTAAAAGTTGCAAAATTTCAGGAGAAGACATAGTACAGAGTGATTTTGTTAGCTGTGGCAAAGCTACCCTAGAAAATCTACATATGGTTAACAAGAATCTACATTAAAAGTAGAGTCAGATCATGCATAGAGTACTAGCTAGCTAGTCCTCTAAAAACTTCTCTATCCTATTTCTTTAACATCAACGAGTAATTAAATTGCATAATAACTTAATAAAGTATAAAGTAAAGAATACAAAACATAGCTAGGAATGGTGAGATTCTAGTTGTTTAGATTTTACATGAAAGTTATAATTAATTGTCACAATATCCAGGCGGAATCAAAAACAGAGCATACCTAATACTCAAGGAAAATTGCCCTTGGATTTGACCTTTGGTTTATCAAAATTCATCCCTTCCCTTAGGAATGGAAATTTTAGCCTCCTTTAATTTGTCCCAAACATGCTCGTTAAAAAAAATTACATGCCTATATATACTCCAAATTTCCTACTAAAAGATAACCTTTGATCAAACAAGTCTTTAGCTTTTCCTTAATTTGTGTGTTGACGCACTCAACAAACCAGAGACCCAACCATGCAAACATATAGTATGTTCTTTTATCACGCAAAAACGTTCTATGCTACTACCAGATAATCTCCCATCAATCCATCATCATTAGTCAACCCAAGTACCCACAAACACACACACAAAAGAAACATCAACATTACTTCAGAATTCCCCTAAAAACATTATTTTAGAATAAGTAGAAATTTCTACTTTGATCTGGCCCAAAAGAAAGTCCTTTTAGCAAATTTTAGACAAATTAGCACTCAACGCAAATGACCGTCATGCCCTTATTTAATGTTGTTTCTAATGATTGAACATTACTCCTAATCCACCCTGCATATATATACAGATTTAACGTGCATGCACACAAAGTTAAGCCAATTAGTCCACTTGATTGGCATTCTCAATTAAGTTAACTAGATGTCCCGCTCTTTACCGCGGAATATATATTAGATATTTGAGAAATGATGAAATGATTTGGATTGAAATGTTATGAAAATGATTTGAGAATGATGATTTAGCATGTGTATGTTTAGTTTTAGAATGAAATAAATTATAAATATAATTACTATATATTTACATATTGAGCTTTTTGTGCTTAATGGGTTGATATGACATGCTACTAATAAATACTATATGCTTGTATGTTGAGTTTTAGGTGTTAGAAAGAAGGGATTAGTTGGGTCAATTTTTTTTACATATATATTCTGAATGATAAAAACACAATCTTTTCTTAAGACGGAGGTTGTATATCATACTTGCATAGCCGATCAATGTACTTCTAGTTAACAAAAAGAAAAAGCCTATTAACGTACTCATATTTTTTTACCTCATGATGAACTCCTATTAAGCCTATTGCATGTATGTACTCATTTTTTTCTAAAATAAAAATAGCATTTATGTATACATGCATGTATATTTGTTTTACCATACTATGATTAGATCAGACAAGAATAGATTAGATCTCAATGATAGCCGTAACCCTAGCCAAATTATTGGGCAACAGCAATTAAACACTACTCTGTGCCAAACGTGCGCTGTCCTAGCTACTACACGTACCCGTGTGATTGCTGATTTTACTAATGAAATTGCAGGCCAAGTTGCTGTAATTAATTGAAATAAAACTATGCACATTTGCAAACTTTGGTCAATGCATTAGCCAGTTAGGTGCCACCGTACGTGAGATGCTCCTAGATTGCGTTAATTACACAGAAGAAACTAATCATTTTTGGAACGGATACGTACATATGTACATATGCACACGTACACCCTGCATTTATTTTGTCACTTCAAGACTGGTTTATGAGCTGTTCATTCTTGAACAGCAAATTATTAAGCCGTCAAATTTTTTCTTAATTGCCAGCTATTGATACACTTCACCTGGCTTGCATTAATTAAGCACCTGGCTTTCATCTTAATTAGCTTGTAAAACACATTTGTCTTGCTTGATTTTATGATGATTGAACTGGAACGTTTAAAGGCTGCTTGGCGTTCCTAATTTTTCGAACAATTTTTAAGCTTTCTCGTGTGTTTTGGTTAATTCTTCTTGATGACTGGTTTTCTGATTACAAGTTAACCTCCTTGGCGACACCAATGTTATATATGATGATAAAATTATAGGGCATAACTTCATCCACCATAGTTCATTTTTTTAAATTTGTTTAATAAATTATATAAGTGAATGGGCTTTCAACATATCTGTGAATTTTGTGGCGATGATGTTAAGAATTTTCTGGTAGTCTCCATCTATTTAAGTGTGACTTTAACAGAGTATGTTGATGGGTTTGTGTTAGTAAATTTTCCGTGTAATATTGCATTTTACATCAAGTGAAAACGCACCCGGTTTCGCTTTGCACCAGATTTAGCATGTACTTGTACTTTGCACCAAGTTGTATTGAAATAAGTTTCACTTAACACCATGATACATAATCAAATTTACAAAACTTTCATGGAGTTTCATAAAATCTAAAAGAAACGTTGTGAGACATTATCTACATTCAAGAAGTTTCATAAGTTTCAGACATATTTTATAAGATTTCTCTTCAATTGTATGATTGCAATCTAGTGTAAAGTGAAACTTATTTTGATATACCTTGATGTAAAGTAAAAGTATGAGTTAAAGCCGGTGTAAAATGAAACAAGGTACACTCTACTTGATGCTAAGTGAAATTTACTAAATAAAACCTGTTATATGTACCATACCGTTTTCTCAATTATTATTGATTACTTCCTCCGTTTCATAATATAAGTTATTCTAGCATTTCCCACATTCATATTGATGTTAATGAATCTAGATAGATATATGGATATGAAAAATAATAGAATGACTTATATTGTGAAACGGATGGAGTAGTTAATTTACAGAAAGAAAAATAATGCTTCGTATCCTGCCCTGCTGCACTGACAGAGACACCATGACATTTCAGCACCAAATCCGGATAGGGGTGATTGGCTACATATATTCTAGTCGACGCAGGATCAGAAGAGATACTTTATCAGCTTTCACAGCTAAAAACTGAAACTAAGATATCTTATCACTGTGTGATCACATCAAGGCAGTACTATATATTGATCAATCTGTGATTAGTTTACTGACAAATCTGCTTTAATCTGTGTATGATCTTTCTCGTGATATCGATGCACAAACTCCGAGATGAAGTGAAAGAAATAGAGATGATGGGCTAATCACATCGAGCATTGTGTTAATCTTGGGTGATATAGTAGCATGTGCGATTAGCTAATGACATGCTCTTGCAGTTACATGCCATTCGCAGCATAACGGCGCTCAACATGCATGTAGCAGCAGTCTTCATTGCTGTACATCATTCGAATATTTTTGTACCCCGGCCCAGTCTCCAAATATATAATTGTCATTCTTTTTCTACTTAGATTCTTATGCTATCAACTCTAACTAGAAATTTTTCATTGAATTTATATGCGTGAGGTATGTCACGAGTTATTTTAAGTCATTACACATAAGGCAAAAATATAGAGAAAAATAGCAGTTAAATGTAATACCTCTCGTCTCTCGATATCTTCTAAAAATCAAGGAATCTGAAAACCCTATACCAATAAATTATGCATATACTCCCTCCGTCCCTTATATTTAGAGACGGAGGGAATAATTTTTCTAAAAATCAAGGAATCTGAAAACCCTATACCAATGAATTATGCATATACTCCCTCTCCCTTATATTTAGAGACGGAGGGAATAATTTTTTATATGGTATATCGAATGTGTAAAACTTATTATGGTATCTATGTTGCTAAAGAAAAGACTGGTTTGGAACTATATTATGGTAACATCACGAATACAATCAAACATGGATTATGGATTGGTACCAGTAAAAACTAAAAACAATTAATAGTGTGCAATACAACGTGTATTATATTACTTCCTCTGTCCAAATAAAAATTAATCTAGAATTATATTTGATATTATTTAGTATAATAAATCATGTCAAGATTTATTATACTGGATTATATTGAATTAATGTTAAGTTGGTTTTTATTGAGACGACGATCAAGAGGTAGAGTAAACTTATGGTCGTACGGTACGATCAAAGTGGGACGTGGGAAGCGGTGGAAGCTTCGTACCATCGAGCCCTGGTCGACGTGGACGCAATGGGGCCCTCCCACGTGCATCGCCGTTGC